CCAGCCTATACTGAGGCCATCTGCCTCAGCCCCTCCAGCCTCCCCTGTCTTTACCTCCTCAAGGATTCAGGAGTCCAGGTCCCCGAATCTGCTCTCCTCCTGCCCAGGTTTCTAGCTCCTCATCTCTTACTCTGAGGGACCCAGGTCCCCCTGGTCTCACCATCCCCCTATAAACATGACACCCCCCCAGCGGCCTTGGCAAACTCCTGCCTCATCCCTGTTTCATGTCAGTTGCTGGGCTGCCCAGGGACTCTATTCTCTCCCCTGAGACCCAGCTTCTTGAGATATTTCTGGCACCCCATTGCCTTCTGCGGCCCATATGGTGACGGTCCATTCTCTGAATACACTCTCTCTGTGCCAAACATACATGCCTTCCTCCAAATGTGTTCTGTGGCCTCGGCTCCTCAGATGATCTAGAACCTACTCACTGTCTTCCACATTTCCGGTTAAACATCACCCTTGCAGCACTCCACGTTCTAGATTCTTTCTAGATCCTGGAACATTCCCAGCCAACGTCTCTGTTCCATCTTCGCCCAAGGCGTGTTCTCAGTTCTAGGCTTGATGCTAAATTCTAGGCATGTCTTTTCCCAGATGAATTCGAATATCTAAAGAACCCCCCGCAGGCCACATTCTGACCCCACTGTCTCTCGGGACAGGACCCAGGCCTTGTTTGTTCTCTGCTAAAATTTCATCTTAGGTGTGTTCTAGGTTCCAGCCATGTCCTTGGCCTTGTTCTACATTCCATTCTCTTCCCAGGGACATTCTAAGTTCTAGAATGTGGGTCTTCCGATGATGTGCTCTAGTCTTTGAATTGTGCCATCAACTCTAGAATGTATTTTCTGCTTCGGGTTCCAACCAGTTCTACAGTCTACAATCTAGAAGACTCCCACTGAAGCGTTCTACCTTAGATCTTCCTCCCCAGGTTCTAGGTTCTAGGCCCATCCATTCCATTCCCACCTGCTCCGCCCACCTTTTCCTTCGTGTGATGTTGGCTCAGAACTTGTCCCCTGGTGGATTGTGGGCTTCCTGCTCTTCCTGCCACATCAGCGTTCTAATCATGCTCTGGGCTCTCCCTTCTTCTGGAGTCTTCAGCTTAGAAATGTCCTCATTTCCAGAGCACCCTATCTCTCCTTTGCCAGCGCAGGCCCCATGCCAGTAAATTCTCAATTCCAAGCATGCATCCTTCTACATCTTCCCCCAGGCACGACTAAGTTCCAGACAAACTCCTTGCTACTTTCTAGGTTTTTCTTCCCCTCCAGGGCATGTCCTGAATTCTAGAGCATCTCTTTTTCATTCTGAGTTCCAGCATTATCTAGACACATGATAAAACCAAGATGGCAAACCGTGTTATACCCTCATCTCTGGTAGATTTTGCATTCTAGATGATGTCTCCTGATGAGGTTTGTTGTGCATGGCATTAGGTATATCCTTAGATATCATTCTGAGGTCACCCAGTTGCTTTTTAAGTTATTGATTGCTCTTGGCTGGTTCAACGTTTCAGAACAGGCTTCTAGAATATGCCCGAAGTGCAGCTCTTACCCAACTCACATTATACACATGGGAGGATATGTTCTTTCTGCGCTCTGTGCTGTATCTACATGCCGGTGGCTTTCTAGATCTGTGCTCAGCCTTGCTGTCTTTTGTTTCCTTCTCAGTGAATTTGAAGTTCTAGAACAGCTTCCTTAAAGCATCTTGTGTTGCATCCCCCTGACCAGGCTCTGGGTTTTAGATACCATGTTGGTTTGGGGCCTAAGGCTGGCCTGCCTTCTGATGAACATATTACGGAATCTGGCCTCTGAGTGCTGGGATTCAGGTGTCTAGATTCCCAGATGTACCTGTTCAAAGATCCAAGGGACCCAGCTGCCTGCTCTTCCAGCCACCACCCCCCCCCCCTTCTCTCCTCACAGAAGTCCAAGGCCCCAGTCCCAGGCTTTAGACACAGTCCGAAAACGGGGTGGCGCTGGGAATTATCTCCTCTTAGAACCGGTTATGCCACTGCCAGATGGGAGAGAGGGAAAGAGGGGAAGCGAATGAAAGTCCCTCCTGCTTTCGGCTGGGCCAGCTGGACCTGTCCGACCTGATGTGTGCGAGGGAGTGGCTCCGGGGAACTCCATTCATCTCCGCCCACAGCTTGTGCGCCCCAGCTCCTGGGTCCTGGGGGCCTGGCCTGTCGGGTTCTGGGGGAGCAGGGGTCTGAAGGCTGGGATCTCTGAGTCTGAGGTTGGAGGTTTAAAGCCCAGACAGAGCAGAGGGTGTAGTCTCTGACTCCCGGGATTGGGAAGGAGGGAGGCTGGAGGCTGGATCTTGGTCACCTGGGTTGTGGGAGATGGCTAGCCTACCCCGCCCTCCTCCATGCTCCCCCCTCTCCAAGTGGAGTGGGTCTTTAGATTCTTCTGGAGTTGAGGTCCAGATGAGAAACTGAAGAAGAGGGGAATCGAGCTGGATAGCAGCTAATCTGGTACCAGTGACCTAATTCTGTGACCCCAGTCCTGTGTCCCCCTGAAGTCACGGTTCTGGCTGGGGCTCAGTTTTGTCACCCATGCAGTGGGTGGAGGGGGATTCTCAGCATGGCCAAAATAGGTAGAGGCTGACTTTTCCACATGCACTCAGGCAGTGCCTGGGTCACCCGGCTTCGGTGTGATGGACCGGGCTGGGCCTAGAT